TGTATACAAAGCATGTGGTGGCTTCGAGAAATATACATAAATTATTTTATTTTATATCAATTTAAGTTATGTTATTTTAATTTAAGTTATTTTATTTAAATTTATTTAATTTCCCATTTTTATTTATGTTTTTTTTTTAGTATATTTAATTTGATTTTAACTCTTTTTTTATATATTTTATTTCATTTTGCTTTATTTTCCTTATATATTTGGTTTTTTGTTTTATTTAATTTTATTATTGCCATTTTATTTTATATTTTGTATTTATTGAATATATTTTATAATTTTATAATTTATTTTTTACTTTTTTCAATTATTTTTTTTTTTGTTTCAATATATCTTATTTATTTAGTTTTATTTTTCATGTAATCTCATTTTATTATTATTTTTTTTTATTTTAATTAATTTTTGTTTCTTTACTTCACTTTATTTAATTTAATTTTATTTTATTTTATATTATTTAATATAATCTAAATTTATTTTATGGTATTTTATTTTATATTATTAAAATTCATTTTATTTTCTTTCGTTTTATATTATTTTTTTGTTTTATTTCATTTAATTTTATTGTATTTTATTTTATTTCTATTTATTTAATTTCACTTTATTAACTTTATTTCATTTTAATTAATTTTGTTTTCCTTTATTTCACTTTATTTAATTTAATATTATTTTAATTTATTGTACTAAATTTGTTTTTTATTTTCTTTCGTTTTATATTATTTTTTTATTTCATTTTATTTTAATTAATTTTTCTCTCCTTTATTTCACTTTTTTTAATTTAATTATTATTACTTTATTTTATTTTATTTTACGTTATTTTATTTTATAGTACTAAATTTTATTTTATTTTCTTTCGTTTTATATTATTTTTTCATTTTATTTTATTTCTATTCATTTAATTTCACTTTACTAACTTTATTTCATTTTAATTAATTTTTGTTTCCTTTATTTGAATTTATTTAATTTAATATTATTTTATTTTATATTATTTTATTTTATATTATTTTATTTTTTATTATTTAATGTAATTTAAATGATTTTGATATTTTATTTAATAGCATTAAAATTGTTTTATTTTGTTTCGTTTTAAATTATTTTTTGTTTCATTTTATTTTATTTTATTTCTATTTATTTTAATTAATTTAATTGCAATTTATTTTATTTTAAATAATTAATTTTTGTTTGCTTTATTTAATTTAATTTTATTTTTTATTATTATATTATTTTATTTTTTTATATTATTTAATTTTATTTCATTTAATTTAATTTTATCTTATTTTAATTTAATATTTTTTTTTTTTACTTCATTTCATTATTTTATTTTTCTCTTTTATTGAATTTAGTTTAATTTTATTTTATTTTTTTTATTGCCTTTTACTATTTTTTCATAGTGCTTATATTTTTAATTTGCCTCGAAAAAGGATACAAACAATAAGAATGGTGTAAACCAAAATCATAAAGAGAATTACAGACACATACAAAGGACTCAAATAAAGGCGTAAATCATTATGAATCGTCGAAGCCAATGGGCCATTTCATTGCGCACAGTGCATACGTTGAAAGATTAATTAAGATTTCAACACTGTTATTGGCATGTGTTAAAATGTAGCCTGCAAAAATATGCAAGTAAGTCAAAGGAGAGCACAGTGAGTGGTATTCAAAAATAAAAAATTGTATTTCGTACTTGGAGGTGCGTGCAAGTATCTGAAACAACATAAACTACATTTTGAAATATTCGTAATATGCATACATACATAGATACATATATACTTATTGAGGATATATAAGGCTTCTAAAGGATGGTTTTTCCATAATCTTACATGCAATACAAGTACATACAGATCTGTAAATTTGTATGGATACATACGAGTATGCGTGTGAGCATGTTTTGGGTAGCCACGTGTACGAAATTTCTGTGTTCTTGTTGTTTTTGTATTTTATTCATTTTCCACCATCATCAGCGCTTACCACGCAAGCAACATTACCAGCACGGGTGAGCATCGATAATGTGTGGATTAATATGAGAATGTATGCGGTTTGTAGCTTCATATTTACTTACGCACATATGTATGTAGTGCAACATACATTTTTTTCTTTCAAAAGTACGAAAAACAGCCTAAGCGTCCGATGAACCGAGCATTTGAAACAATGTAGCCACATGCATACGCATATATTGTACATACATAACTCATTTATTTGCTACTTTTACCAATTTTCAATTAATATATACCGCTCTATTATGCTTAATGATTATTGCGGCTACGTACAAGAGTCGTACAAGAGCAATTTCAATCGAATCTCTTAAAGTACCATGAACAAAATAAAAATACAAATATATACACACATATGTATGCAAGTGTGTTTATATTTGTGCATTTGCGGCAACGACACGCGCTTTATGTCGGAAATGCTATTAATTTTGTTGATTTCATACAGAAATCAGCGGTTATTATGCGCCAAAAAAATAATAATAATTAAGTATATCTGTATGTGTACGTTTTTTTTGTGTGTGTGTGTAGCATACAAATTTCACACGCAATACTACCAAACCAACTTATAGTAAATTACTAACCACACACATTGCCATTCACACAATAAGCTTCAGCAACGGTCTGTACGGCCGTGGCGTATGAGTAATATAATAAGTTATCAGCGCGCTTACACTCACCATCGGCACAGCACACAAGCTCCACGCTCACTCAGCCGCAAACGAAAACACTCGTTGTGCATGCATAATAAATATTATTCACTTTACGCTTGATTTTCAATACAATACAATACTGCTTATTATTGAATTTCCTCATTTAAAGGCGAAAGAAAATATAAACAATAAGCAAAAACAAATGCATATTAAAAAAAAAATCTCTAAAAATATAAAGAAATTAATAAATTTATGAGCAAACTAAAAAAGGTGAAAATATAAAATAATTAAAATATGTAAAAAATTAGTAAAGATGTATCCAAATAAAATAAATATAAGATCAAACTTATTTAAAACAATAAATAAAGATAAAAATGTACGAGATATAATTATATAAAAAAACACATTCAGAAAGGAATAAAAACATAAAAAATAAGAATATACTAAAAACGCTTTACAGATTTGAAAATAAAAATATAAAAAGTTTAAAAAATATATGTAAAAAAATGTATGACATTATATAAAAAATAACTTACACCTATAAATAAATAAAGAAATAAAAATATATAAAAAAATTATATTTAATTAAAAATTATAAAGAATAAAAATGTATAAGAAAATATGATTATTTAAAAAATATAAAATGTAAAGTGAATTAATAGAATAAAATATAACAAAAAATATTTATAAGCAAAATAAAAACGATAAAAAATATGCAAATATATATGTTGGTATATATATTGTAAAAAAAAAATAAAATAAAAATAAATAAAAACTAAATAAAACTATTAAAAATGCATAAGAAAATAAAACTAATTATGATATATAAATAAAATGTAAAATACAAATAAAAAAATTACAAAAATTAAGTATAAAAGAGAATACAATATTAAATCAATAAGTAAAATAAAAGAATAAATTTAAAACGAAAAAAAGTAAGTATGTTTGCAAACTAAACATTTATATATGTATGCTTAATTTTTGTTTTTGTTGTCCTTATTAATTTTTTTTATTTATTATATATAAAGAAATAAAAAAGGTGACAAGAAATCAAATATAAAAAGAAAAATGAAAATGTAAAATATAAAAAAATCAATATTAAAAAAAAATAAAAAAAAATGAGAAAAGAAAAAATTATATTTATTTAAATATGTATGTAGACAATGCATACATATATTTATGAAAACAGAAATATATAGCAAATTTAGAGATATATAATATAAAAAAAAAACTGGAATAACATAAAAAAATTAAAAAAATATACAAAAATAAAAATTAATTATAAATAAAAAAATATATAAAAAATAACGCATAAAAATTACATAACAAATTTAAAAAATACATATAAACAATATAAAGAAAAATAAATTAAAAAGTGGTAAAAAATATAAATCAACTCAAATTAAAAAATAAATAAAAATAAAAAAATACCATATAAAAACATATACGAACTGCTACAAAATTAAAAACCAAAAAAAAAAATAATTGAAAACTAACGATATTAAAATATGAACGACGCGCGGCGATCCTGTGAAATCTGAAGGAATATAAAATATGCAATATATATGTATGTGTTGTTCACAGAGAAGGTTGAGCATATATAAACACATACAAACGTAGAATTACAACATTACTGCTTTAAATACATATATGTAGGTATATGTATATGCACTTTTTGCAATTTCTGTTTAATTAAAAAAAATAAATAAAGCTTAATGCTTAAGCACACACGCAAGCGACATAATAGCGCATAGCTGTAATATGGATATTTTAAAGCGTATATATTATACATACATATGTATGCATGTAAAATATGAGCGTGGAAGTAATAATTTTTACATTTTTCTCGCTTGCAACACTTGCATAAGAAATAATGTAATGATAATAAAAGAATAACAACCAATTCATGAGCTGATGGAAACGGCTGAAAAATCACACACACAATAGCAAATGCAAGCAAACAGTTTGTTCGAACAACATTTTGGGTCAATAACTCAGCAATATTCCAAAAAAAAAAACATATTACATATATTATTATATATATATATGTATATATACACGTATAAGTACAAGTAGGCACTCATACGTGCTCATATAAGCAATTAAAACAGAAATGGTAAAAATAACTGCATCGGCCACTTGATTAAAAGACATAAAAAATTATTAAAATTTTTTGTTTTTACTTTTTTATGCAAAAGTTACATTAATTTATTTATACCACACATACTCATACCTGTATGTACATTGATAAAAATATGCTACTGATTGCTTTTTGCTTTTCCTACGCACCGTCGACAATTTATTTTAATACTATAATTATAGTAGAGACTAAATATATATAAGAATATTATTATTGTTTTTTTTTTTACAATCAGTAATTTGGGTTTTTGCAATCGCATTTGCCTGTGTTTGCATATAAATAAATAATAACGATGCTAAAAGTTATACTATTTATATAAACGTTACTTTATTCGAATAATACCCATTGTTAATCATCAAACTTTATCAAATCGCATTTTGCATACGAAGTAAGTATAAATATTTTTTTTTAACAATGTTTCTTTCATGCATAAATTACAAAAACACAGAAAAATTTTCAACGTATCACTGCAATTTTTTTATTATTATTTTTTATTTATTATTTTCCTACTATATATGCGCGGTTTAACTGCGCTTTTTCGCTGTGTTTTTTTTTTTCAAAAGATGTATAACAGTATATGCAATTGTAATTATAAACAAAATTCACTCACTCTATTGGTCAATTAAATAAAGATATGCGCCTAACAAAAAGTGTAAACTTTTAAACAATATAAATGTTAGCAATAATTAATTACCAGTGGACCTATATAATAAATAATAAAAAAATGTAAATAAAGCAATTAAAGAAATAATACTAAAGAAAATGTAAAGCTTAAAATAAGTAAAATACAGTTTTCGTACATTTTTTGTGTTCAGTTTACTTTTCTTTCTGAGTGGTTTTCGAAGCAGCGGACCTTGCCAACGCCGCAATACTTTTGTTCAACTTCAACATAAAAATGCGACTGGTCAATGAATATGAGCTTTTTACGAAGAAAAGAGCAAAAAACGACGTTTTGTCCTTGAATTAGAAGAATTGTGTATGCCAAAAAGTCAGCAAGTTGATTGCCCTAGCCGAAGGCAGAATAGGCCGGACAAAATTGCAGACATTGTATAAGGTTTTTTCACAGCTATTTCACTAATTCTAATAAATAAGCGATTATATTGTACATAAATAAAGAAGGTAGAGCAATAAGCGCACTTTGTTGCTGATGTCTGACATTTTCGTTCCCAACCGACTGCGTGATCGACCGCTCTCTTTCAAATATTCACAGCGGGTAAATATGTGTGTATGTAAGTATGCTTGTTATTCATACCCTTTCGCTACTACGTCATTCTTGCACACCACTGACGCTTCATTATAACTGTACTGGCGGCACTCAACTCATCTGACATCGTTCAACACAAGTGTGGTTGTGTATGTTTGTGATTGCACTGCTTTGACAACAGTCGTCTTACGTGTCACCTGCTGTGTGCCATTCGCATTGATTTCCTCAGTGCTACTCATCAGCACGCCGGCCTTATGATTCAACATCACGGTGTTATTGTCTCCATCGTGTGCGTAATGCACTTCTGGCGCATCTTCTACACAACCGATTGTCGTTACCTGCACGTCGGTTTTGGAGAGACGTGGTGAACGCGCTCGCCGTATGGGTGAACGCGCACCACTGCTCGATGCCACCTCATCGTCACTGTAGTCGTCGGTTGCGCTACTTATTGCGCTGCGATTCGAACTCATATAGGAACGTTGTGGTGCGAATTGTGCACGCTCGGCTCCACTCAAACCGGAATTACGATACATACCACCTGTTGTGGACGGTGTTGCGGTTATATCTTCTTCGGAGATATCATCGAAGGCAGGTGGTGGCGTTGAGGAGCCAGACAGTAACGGCGGTCGTGTGTGTGAGGCTAAATTCAGTGATGGCGTACGCTGTGGTGTGCGCAACGTTGTTGAACTCTTACGTTTCGATGGGGAATGTTTCAGCGGAAAGGTGGGCGTCTTTTTGAATACCGTTTTGCCCATGAAATTTTGAAAGCGTTGCGCATAGAATGACGGCCGACACACGGATACGGTATCACCGTTATAGATAATGCTTTTGAATGTGTGCTCGAGTTTCTTCTCCAAGCGATACGATTGCAATATATCAATAATACCAATATATAGAATTAGACGTTCGTCGTTTTCGGAGCGCGCTGGTATGCCACCCGCTGGCACATCTTCATCCTCCTCCATAGGTATATCCATGTCGGCGGTGATCGATTCGAGCGCCGTAGAATGCGCCACCAAACGCTGACGGTTCATGCTGCGCGAACGATTCAAAGCGGTGCCAGCCGCCTGCAATGCTGTCGTAGAGCCAGCATTCATTGATTGATCGAAATCTGGCGGTTCCGGCGCTTCACGCACCTCTTCGGAGCGTTGCAATTTGGCGCGGGCATTCCGTATGCGCTCCTCACGTTTCTCCTTTTGCGCCAAGTCCAAATTGTGTATGCCCACCAACAGCGAGTAGTCCATAATTTGGAAACTCTCCAGCACCATGCAATCTCGCTGTATTGTCTTTATGAGTGCATTATATTTGTCGGTTTCAAGGAAAATGCCATTCGGATGATGTTCCATAAAATCCAAGTCTTTAAAGGTTGGACTAGCTTTCTGACGTTCTGTCTTTGATGCTTTCCGACGGAAGGTGGAGCCCTTCAAATCGTATTTTGCGTGCATTTTAATATCGGATGGCAGCAGATTGTTCATCGCCACCAGCCGCACATTCTTAGCATTGTAGTGGAAGCAGTAGAGACCGAAAAATTTTGGCAGTAGCGTACGCGGATTTTGTGATAAATTCATATAGTAGCCCGGCAGTAATTTCTGTAAGAACTCGCATTCCTTTTTCTGCACTGTCTTTATGATAAACTCATCATCGTCTGTTAGATAAAAAATCGAACCAGACGCACCGGGGTTGGATAGCTGGCGCAGCGGTGAGGCGCACATCGACATGAGAAAATCATCGGGTGCAATACCAAACAAATCACGGAAGTAGCGAAACGCTATGGGTGCATACACCTTAAAGCGAAATTCGCTGTAATGATGTGCCGGCGTTATCGATGAGCCGTCAGGTGGAAATGCAATTGTCTCCATTTCCCAAAAGTCTTTCATGAGTAGATCACGCTTAGGCTTGCTCGCCAAACTACCAACCGTATGCTGTATGCCCAACTGTATGGAACCCATTATTTGTTTAGATTGTATGCGCTTATATGTCACCTCGCCGCCTTCATCGACTCGCCTATGCCCAATTTTCTTCTCATGTTTGCCCGCCGCCGATGGATTGCGCGACACGCTGGCATCTAACGTCGAGCTGGCACTCCGCAAACGCTGTTGCTGTGCTGCATTGACCGCCAATTCAGCCTGCATCAGGCGTGTAGACTCATCGCCGCCAGCCGCAGCTGCTGCTTCACTGTAAATACTGCGTGAGGTGGATGGCACAGCTGCTGATATACTATTTACGGCATTTGTGCTTTGATGTACATCCTGTAGCTGTGCTAGGGTCTCTTCGTTCGACAATTTCATATCCGGTGCGGCAAAGGGTGCTAAACTGACAGTGTTGACAGCAAGTGTTGGTGGCGTTGGTGTGGTGGGTTTTGAAGATGATGGCGCAACATTGCCATCAGTGTCAACTGTTGTTGGCACAGTTGAAGATGTTGGCGACGATGCTGATTGTTGTTTGACGTTCTCCAGTTCAATGGCATCAGCTAACTCACCCGTCGCCATGTTGTATGAGTATATAAGGTTGAGTGGTATACAACGTATTGCTGATCTCTGCAAGCAACAGAGCTTCAGTTAGTGGTCTGAAAAATTTGCAAACAAACATAGAAAGAGCACGACAAAAGTGCCTACTTTGTAGGTAGCAAAGTCAAAATCACACAAAAAAGTTGCAACATTTAAATGAAAATTTCTAAATATATATATATATATTTTTGTTTAAACAAAGTGTTCGTGTAAGCAATGTGCGCCTAACGTGTAAATTTCTAATCGCCACACACTTTCATTCCTTCCAACTCCAGATAAGCATTTGCACAACCACTGACCCAGAAGACACAACTTTAGTGATAAAAGCAATTGTTAGCCGAAAGGTCACGTACTCAGCCAAGTGTGCTCATGTAAGCATCTGTAACGGTACAACCACATGCTACTGCGCTTCTAGAAGACGCAATGAAGCAATATAGCCAAGATACGAAAAAGAATATAAAAAAGCGAAACGAAAAATGAAATAAAAATAAATGTTTTTGTCCATTTCTCTTTCAATATTATTCTAAAAAAAAAATATGAAGACAAAAAAAGTTGTATAATAGGAAAATAAAGAAGTGCAAAACAAAGCATTTAACAACAAATTGAAATGCCAGACGCGTACAAGTGCAGCGTCGTTGCAACGTTTATGGTTGTATAGGACAAGGTGTGGTCGAAGTCGCATTGTCAATCTCATGCGCACTCACCCACTGCATTGGTTGTCTGATGGATGAGCAACTGGATGCGTACTCGTATACAATTGAAATTGAGAATGTGTCATCACAGTACGAGCAATATGAGATATTGAAGAGGAGAAAAAAGTGTTTAAGAAATATTTTTCCGAAAAATAAACATAAAAGCAATTTATAAGCGGACATTGCTTAATTAAGTTGGAAAGACCTTACAAAATGTTGAGAGAAACTAGAAAAAATAAGGTTGAAGAAGCTCATATTGTTTACAGCAATCATTAATAACAATCGCTGGCTTTTTACGTTAAAACCTACAAAGAAAAACCGTCTAGAGCTTTAGTATAGGGCATCAAACACCTATGAAGTGATCCCATTAGTTCTTTTCAGTTGAAATAAAGTTATATATTTCTTAAAAGGGCACAGGGTATGCCATCCTACCCTTTTGTGACAAATTTGCGTTTAACTTCGATAGACCATACAATTTATAAAAAATAATATAACTTTGTATGTATTTTACAGTTTAAGATACTAACATAATTATTCTAAATGAATGCTAGCAACAATTTTACTGTAGATATACACACCCACTTCGTTTTGCACTTTTTACTTATTTTGGAGTAAAGAGCCATATTTTCTTAAAACCACACAAATTCGTTTAAAATATGTTTGACAATGCGGGATGATCTGGTATACACATATCCATACATACGTATATGTATTTACTTGTATTTATGTTTGTATGCTCTAGTCATCAACACACAAAGCTATTTATACGCACAGTTGGCAAGCAATGTGATAAAAGTCAAGTGGTCAACAATTGTATGGGTTGTGAATTGGATGGAGAAAATTTTAAAATTATATAAACAAAAGTTTAAAAATAAAATCCAAAAACAAAATGAATTGTTGCTCACATTATGAATATGCTCTAGTCTCAATCGGTATTTGTTGAAGGTATGACAAAAAACGTGCCATTTTTATGGATAATTTAGTGTAGCATTTAATTGCAATCAATTAATTTTAAATATTTTGTATATAGTACAATGTACATTTTTACTTATTTATCAGCATGTACGTACATATTTACAAGTATGGGAACAACAGCAATTTTTATGGAAAATTAATGCCTACAAAGTGGTAGACTGACGCTCATACGTCAACTTCTTACCTTTATCTACCCACTTCAACTTATCAGGGTGTTATGTAGAACCCTCTTACGTAGCAAAATATTGTATTTATCTCTAATTAAACGCTTATCTACACACATGTACGTAGAATTTGACGTCTGGGCATCAAGGCAATAAAAAATATATAGCTTAAGAAAAGGAGAAAACTATAAAGCAATTTACTAAAAAAAAACAGTAATTCACTTCACTATTAAAAGCTTGTCATACCGGGTTTTTTTTTCAACTACCCACATACTTTTAAACATTTCGTTGCTGTTTGGGTTTTGCTTAGCGCAGTTTGTAGAATTTTATTGTACTTTGGCACGGAAAAAATGCCGTCATACTTTTGCTAATTTTTGTATGGAGTTCTCAATTTTTCACCTTGAATAACATGCAAGCATAGTATATTGACACAACACAGCAGATCAGCTGATATGTGTTGCTTTAGCATAAGCCCAATTGGTCTTACATATGTAGATATGTACATACATTAATAAATACATTTGCACTTGATAATCATTAATGAAATATTTGCTGAATTAATCATCCATCTAAAATGTATATACAAAAATGGTTGAAGTGAACTGGTGAGTAAATGTTGCAACTTTTTTGATCTTGATTTCAAATACTTACAATGGGAAAATACGTCAAAATTTTGTGTTGTGATCAACGTAATTTGGTGATGATCAGAAAATGTCAACAAATGTATCGCATTGAACGCCCACAAACCACAGCGAAAAGTGATGCGCCGGCACAGTTAATATAGATATTTTTATATAAATATATATATATATATATATATATATATATGTATATTTCAAAGATTTTGAAGGCCCCTTATTGGAGAAATCAATTAGATGTGTGCCTATCACCATCTGCTCCGACACGTACACAGCTTAACACACAATTTTGTGTTCCAGCGCCAATACCAAGCACATTTTATACACTATAAATTCCTGTGACACAATAATTTTCACATTAATTTTTATCTAAAAAAAATTAAAAGAATTTATTGCTTTCCACCTGAATTGTCTCGAAATTTTTCTGTAAAATTTGTCCACCACTAGAAATAGTACTTATTTCTATTCCAAAGTCGTTTGCGTTTATTAATTTTCACACAAATGTCAACTCGAATGACTATCCAGTGGAGAGCGAATGAAAGAGACTGTGTGTTGGCCGAGAAATATTGCTGTGGGTAGCCAAGCAACAACGTAGTGTAAAAGAAAGAGAAAACCATTTTTACAGCGGTTGGTTATGACTCACTTGAGCTACTAATGCGTTGTGCGACCTCTACTGTTGAGAATATGAGTGATGTGGTTTTATATAGAGCTGCCAATTGGATTAACGGCAAATATTGCGTTTAAGCTAATAAACTTATTTAGGTCACCATATTAGGGGGAATTTTAAGGAAATCTTATTAGATATATACTTATAATGGCATCAGAAATTCATATTTTCTTATTAGTTTTTGCGTTGTTTCAATATTTGCAACTCTCAATTTTTTTGCATTAACACTACGTCTTGTGGTAACACTTAGCAATCAAGAAATAGCGGAACTTCCGTTCGCACATCCTTTCTGACAACAGTCGAGTTTTTTCCTAAAATATGAGTCAAATATCCGTTATTTTGATGTGAGTGCTTAAATACAGATAATTAAGTTAAGTAATTAAGTTCAATTTAATGTGAGTTGCCATCAACTCATCTTTTAACAAAAAGTGCTGGGAAAGATTTCTATACACATCTATATAAAAATTAAAGCCATATCACAAGCTGCATATTCAGTTTAAAATTTTTATATGTACATATGTATGTATCAGCTAGATGAATCGTATGGATATTTTCCAAACCTACTAAAACAAGCATACCACAAGTGAAGCAATAGGAACAGCACTTAGAAAATAAGAAGGCGCTGAATGGCCTTTCGAAATTACGCCATACTCGTATCGATGTCACCCAGCTTATTTAGTTGTTGCTGCTATTTGTGGTTTAATGGCACGTTGACCATAAATAATGCTACTGCTCAGCTGGGCAGCTAGTACCTACCTATTTACAACTAAAATCGCTGTGCAATGGGGGAATATTAATTGGATATTGACGAGCACTTGTAGCCGCATCGATTATATTTCTGCGTGTATATGTAAGTATGTATGTATGTATGTACGTAACTTCTTCAAGTTTTTAATCCATAGAGCCGCTAAGGAACAGACGACCTAAATACGCGAAACTCAAGTATGAGTTTCCTAGTCGGGGGTGAAGAAACTTCTTAATTAAAATTCGACAGACATACGCATTAACCAAATTGGTAATATTTTCAACTCAATTGTACTTGAGTGGCGAAAAATAATTTAATTGAATTTCATATTTTTTTTTTTAATTTTAGCTTTAAGCACTTTTAAATTTCTGGGCTAAGTACAAAATAAATATAAAACCAAATTTGACTGTGACTATGGATACATACATACAAACATATATATATATATCTATATATCAGATACCACAGTTATCATTGTCATTGCGGCTTATATTCAGCAATTATTATTAGAATTGTTGTTATTGTTGACCACTCGAAGAATGTTGATCCCTCGAAGAATCTCTTCCTACTCATCCACACGTAGAGTGCGTAAATTCGCAATTATAGTAAGCTAATTTGCAAATATTCTGTGCTTGAAATTAATTACACACAAAGAAAAATAATATAAATTTCAATTATTTTAGTTCCTCATTATACGACGCCACAAACAGGTTCTATAAGAGCTTAATCGCCATCACCGCGCAATGCAGCACAGAACGCCGCTAATGATGATTATATATGTATATACATACGTAGGTATGTGTGTGTTTGTGATAACGATAATGATGCTGATGACGATGATTAAGCTACATTTAGTTGGAAGCAACTGGTCGTTGTAACCACAAAGTTATGCAGTGCTACTATAAAATAAATTACTTATTGTGCGGGAAGAGGCGAGGAAGCTATTGCAGCTCAGAATGACCGCATTCAACACAGTGAGAGTGTGTCATCTCGTTACTACTGTGGAAGCACATAAACATTTGTAGATATATGGATATATATTTACTGTTTACAATCTCTATAAAATTGTCAATAATATCCTCCTCACCTCCAATCGTTTTTAGTTTTTCCTCAATTCTGGCTATTCTCATGCTGTTCTCGTTCGCTGGCTCATCTACAATACAATGTCTGTGCACGTTCACTGCAGCAGCAGTTTGTATAGATATTTATTGCCTTCATGTTGACTACCGGTGCTACTCTTGTTATTATTGTTGTTGTTTATCTCCTTTTTGTGCACATGCCATCATTTTGTTTGAGTTTGATTGTGTGAGTTTACATAAATTATTTTGCGCTTGAATGACTGAATTGTACTAAGCTTTAATTGCGTTTTTATTGGAATTTTTTAAATAATTGTGAATATAATTATTCAAAATGTCGCAGCAACAGCGAATTTTATGGCAGACATTAAAAATAATTGCAAATTTAGTAGTAATATAAAAAGCAATGCCCAGCCCATAAAAAATGAATCTTTACAAAGCTTCACAGGTGCACTTTGTGAAACCAAGTTATTGTTCGGCAAATGGTTGGATAAATTTGAATTTGAAATCAGTTTAAATTTATTGAATAAGATAATATAACAGTACTGCATTGAAAAATAGCTTTTCTCAGATATAGCATATATACTTATGAAAATTTCTTATGCTAGAAGGTTCTCAAAATTTCTCATGCACTTTCAAAGAGGAGTGAACAGTTTAAAATAACAGTAAAATATTCAAATGTAGAAAATACAAAATACGAGTTGTGGACAGAATGAATACCGTTAAATCGCAAGACCACTGTATTGTATTCATAACAGACTGCACTGAATTATAATTCTTCAACATACGTACATACATACAAGTAGATAAAGGCATACATATGTGTATTTATATGCGTTTAGTTACATAAATTAAGTGCATGGTAGAAAAAGGCCTGAAAATTGAATTATTAATTGCCTAAGAAGCATATAAATGCGTATTCTCGTAAGTACATAAGTAAGAGCTACAAACCGAAGTTCAATTGGAACACAAAATCACGTGTTCACTGTAAATGGCGGTAAGTAGGAAGATATAAATACATTTGAATTTACATCTGAGTACATATGATATTTTTATATGCAGTTAATAAAAGAAATAAAAAGAAAAAAATATATCCGAGATTGGATAGGTAAGTACCCAGCCGAATGTTATCGTTTAAGGGTTTATAAGAACAATTTATATTAATACCATTTAGCCATAGTTAAAGAACTTAATGATACTTATAAGTAATGTGGTTCGTAGGGAAGACATTAAAGTCACATAGTTTTTACTTTACTACAAAATCTAAGACAATTATTTACTAATAGAATATTTGTAATAAATGATTTAACTCTTAACTTAACAGTTAGACATAAATCTCTCTCGGGCTATAGTTAGAGCATGGGCACTTTGCTGCTGGAACAGCGCAGTTTATTATTTTTTTATTTTTTTTATTTTTGTATACATATATATATATGTATTTTTTGTGTGACCAAAAGTTCTCTACTTATTTTGAATGTGCTATAGTTGTTTTTACTACTTTTTTTTCAAAGCGCACTAGCCATTAAATGTTTAAAATTTGTTGAAAAACAGATGTTGTCATATGAATTACTCTGGACTTTCAGTCAGAAACCATTTGGGAGTTTGCAAATGTCAAGTAATAAAAGCATGAGCGATTTTATTTTTTTATTACTATTTGTAGATAAAATAGACACATTTCAAAGTACAATATTTGTTACAATAAATTGGAAGTTGATAAAAAATTACAATAAAAATGGAAAAAAAGTTGATAAAAAGTGGAAATGAAAATATTTTTTCCCACTAAAAATTTATTTGGTCCGACAAAACAAACACATCCCAACCGTTGTGGGTCAATGGCCTCGAGCAGCATTTTGCTGACCCGTCGATATTAACGCTAAAATCAAAAAGTCAAAAAAAAAAACAAAAAAAAAAAAACAAGGGAAGAGTGTAGAAAAAAGCTCAAACGCGCCAAACTGTCAACGTTATTCGAGCTCACACTGATTGGTGGCACTGACCGTAGTGTGACAAGTGTCAGTTGCATACAATGTGACTATATATGCACGTACATTTATACATACTCGTATGTATAGTATAGATTGCTCATACATATTAACTCCTGCCAATGCATTTCCACCAATTATGCGCTAACTGTACCACATTTCAACACAGTAAGACACTAATCATAATGACAATAGCCATTGCAAGACAATGATACTAATGCCATTGCAAGTGATATTGTTCGCTAGCTTGTGTGTCAGCTGCTGATTATGCGTCCACTGATGACCGCCGTGTGATAATAAAACCAAAGCATTATTCCTAGAAAAAAAAATAGTGAGAGAGTAGTGAAAAGTTGGTTTGGACTACTGGCCACATATTTTTACGTGCGAGTATGTGGTGAGAAAATAAGAAGACAAAACTATGTTGCACAACATGTTCTACGTTGTTACAGAGTTTCTTGCGGTATTAAAATACACGCATCTACTACATAAATATACATATGTACGTATGTATGTACGTATGTATCATGGGGTGACATTAGATGTGAATAGTCCGACAGGGTGTATTTCACCCCCACACGCCGTGAGTGAGTGAGTGATTGCTCAGTGTTCGACAAACACCAACTGACATTTATTGGCAATCATCACTGCAATTGTTGTGATCGTAAATGCGCATCAATGCACAGACATAATTGACAATTAACTTTAGTTGCTGCAATAAGTCTAATTGAATTGAAATAGCGATTGCGCTTATAAATCTCTACAAAATTATCACCACTTGGCTATTTGGCTATATTCGCACATATGCACATACGCACATGCAGATATAAAAGCAAATCAATAAATCGCATTTAAATGCAACCGAAATGGTTATGTTAATAATGTGAAGGCTGTCACATTTCGCACACACACACACACATAGTAAAATTCAGTGCAAAACTAAATAACGGTTGGATTTTATTAAATTTGTGGTGTTTTTTATTTAAATATTTATTACGCTATTATTGTTACCATATTATTATACATACATATATTTGCATGTATGTATGTATGTATGTATGTACGTACATATCTATGTGTATTTACAGGAAATCGCATTTATTTAGTAAATGTTATTTGTTAAGTTTATTTATGCAATACTTGACATTTTTTATTACTTTTAATTGTTGCTCTTTTTGTTTGTGTATTAAAAATAAGTGCCGCAATAATTGTTACATTTGCTCACATTGATTGGGCAGCGTGTCAATGGTTAACACTTTTACTGGCAATTCACGATGCAGACATTTAAATGTATGTATTCATGCTCGCATGGGTGTACTGTTTTTTTCTACTTGTTTGATGTTTTTTTTTTGTTAATTTACTTTCATTATTAAAAGTGCTCTCATTTCATTTTATGCAGAATTGCGGCCTGATTGCGTTTGCTTATTTCATTTCCCATAATTAAGAGGAATTTAATGTTGTATTGTATTAGTGTAGTAATTTCAAATAGTGCAAAAATGTTGAATTATGACAATGTGTGCTATTAATTGATACGAAAAAAATTCGATTCGTGATTAATAAAATGGAAGAAATTTATCGAGGTGATACATACTAATACAATATTTTAAAGCTTTCTTTATTTAGTTTAATTTTTTTCATATCAGTGATTTTTATTCTTATTTAACTTACAGTTTCTTCTTTTCAATTTTTTTATTTCTATTTATATATTACATGTTTTACATGTTTTCTTAATGTATTTTTTTCAGTTTATAATAGTTTGAGTAATTTTGTTTTATTTAATTTTCTTACGTTTTATTTAATTTTTTCTTTAACTTTCTTTTATTACTTCTGCTTTACTTAATTTCAAATTTTTTTATTTTCATTTTATTTAGATATTATATTTTATTTTATTTTATTTTAGTTTATTCAATTTTATTTTATTTCATTTCATTTCATTTCATTTCATTTCATTTCATTTCATTTNTTTATTTTATTTTATTTTATTTTATTTTATTTTATTTTATTTTATTTTATTTTATTTTATTTTATTTTATTTTATTTTATTTTATTTTATTTTATTTTATTTTATTTTATTTTATTTTATTTTATTTTATTTTATTTTATTTTATTTTATTTTATTTTATTTTATTTTATTTTATTTTATTTTATTTTATTTTATTTTATTTTATTTTATTTTATTTTATTTTATTTTATTTTATTTTATTTTATTTTATTTTATTTTATTTTATTTTATTTTATTTTATTTTATTTTATTTTATTTTATTTTATTTTATTTTATTTTATTTTATTTTATTTTATTTTATTTTATTTTATTTTATTTTATTTTATTTTATTTTATTTTATTTTATTTTATTTTATTTTATTTTATTTTATTTTATTTTATTTTATTTTATTTTATTTTATTTTATTTTATTTTATTTTATTTTATTTTATTTTATCTTATTTTATTTTATTTTATTTTATTTTATTTTTTTTTTTTATTTTTTTTATTTTATTTTATTTTGTTTTATTTCATTTTATTTTAGTTTATTTTATTTTATTTTCGTTTTTAATTTATTTTTTAAATATAATATCTTTGTTCCTGTTGTACAAAAATATTTCAATTTCGAATTTTTGGAGAGCATACATTTTAAGAGTTTTTGATATGAGTATGGATATGGATATGGATTTTCATTTTCCTTTTATTTTACTTTATCTTATACTAAAGCTCGCCCGCGATTTCGCACGCATGGCATTCAAAGATTATTCTGACAAAACTTTTTAATAGGTTTTTAATAACTTAAAAGATACTTTGTTAAGATATATGAAAAATAGAAAAGATTTCCACATAATAGCCTATACAAGGAGCTTTCTGTGGTCCGAGTTTCAGGCGAATCGCACCATAGATTCGAGTATGATCCTTCCAGTTAGATCAGTTCTGGAATGAAAATTTTTCCACACATTGATATAGGCAAAGAGCTGTCTATTTTCCAGATATTAAACGAAATGAATTTTCTTCTTGCGGCCACATGGCCACTTCCTGAAAGGAAAAGTGTTCCCAATAGTAATCTGGGCCCAAAGCTATTGCTGTACCAAATTTTAGGCGCATTGAAAACTAAATGCAAATTTTTCGAATAGATCGGTCTCAAGTCCACTTACCATTATACTAAACTTCATGCAAGTCCAACGATTTCATAAAAAAAAAATAATTTATCGAATAGATTGGTGCCAGATACACTTCCCGGAAAATGCCTTCTTATCGGGTGTATACGTAGAACAGTTTCAGTTCACCGTAATCAGTGGTCTATGCTGTGAGTTGATTCGTCAGTCACTCAAGACTTTAGAATTTTGCTTGATTTTATTACATTTAATACAGTTTTTTTTGTTTAATTTTATTTTAATACATTTTTTCATTTAATTAATTATAATTTAATGTGTTTCTTTGATTTTCGTTATTTTATTTTTTATCTTTTTTATTGTTTGAAAAAATCTAGTTTATTTCATTTATTTTAAACTTATTTTATCTTAATTTATGATATTTTATTTAAAATTAGTCTGTTTCATTTTATTTCAATTTTTATTTAATTTTTTTAGTTTTATTTTTTAATTTATTTAATGTAAATTCAATTTTTTAGTTTATTTATTTTTATTTAACTTTATAAATTTTATTTAAAATCATTTATTTCACTATTTAATATTATATATTTTCTATGCTATTTCAGTTAACGTTATTTTCTTCTATTTGATTTCATTTAATTTTATTTTATTCTTTAGTTTACTTTATTTTGTTATGTTTAATTTTTTTAAATTTTATTTTATTTATTTATATATTGTTACCCTAAAAGAAACCGGTGGCTTGTCATACAGACGACGTTGATGATTTTTTTTTAAACAGCTTGTGATGAGTTGAAAGAAATTCTTTTCACAAGTCGCTTCAACGCTTGTAACAAGCATCTCAAATGGAAAGAATACGATCCGTTTTCGAAGCAAATCATAACTGGAGATGAAAAATGGATTGTTTACAATATCGTCATTTGAAAACGATCACGGTGCAATCATGATTAAACGTCACCAAACCC